TTTTTTAAATGAAACTTAAAAAAACCCAAAACATTAGAAATGTCCTCAAGCATCCCTGTTATTTCAAGGGGGAAAGCTAGTATTAGCAGATTCTGTGCAATTTTGGCAACTGAGTTTTTAATTCATTTAAGATTCTATTAATATGTTTGATAAATGATTGTAATATATACATACTGGTGGAACTTAAACAACATCAAGCCAACTGCTTTTTCTCTGACCCCAAGAATCCTCGCTCAAAGTGCTTTTCTTCCCGGTCCTCAGACGGGCTAATGAAATTATTTCGCACAAATTTGTCAACAAAGACCTGTTAAGCTTTCTATGTCTAAGTCTCCTGCTTTTCTCTCTCCAAAAGTCCACATCAAGGATGACATTTGCACGCATCTCCTTTGTTTGACAAATACATTTGCTATGTGACTGTTCCCGGGGGGGGGCGGGTGTCAGCAACTTCTGTCACACCTGCTACCAGAGGGCGGGGAGGAGGCACGGAGTCCCCGGGCTCCTTAGAGAGGAAGTACAAATCGATCTTGCACTTCACTTAGTCACTACCTAGCCACTTTCCAACCATTATCAAGCAGTTCAAAACAGTTCACTAAACAAGAACAGCAACCACCACCTACACGTAATTCGGGCTCAAGGTATTTTGGAATACAATATTTTCGTGTGTTCCTCCTTTGTACCTTTTGCCCCCTCGTCACTTGAGTCTGTAAAGCTCACTATACTTGTAGTTATCAAAATTCTCCCAAAGTAGAGAATTTACCTTTTACATATAGGGTAGTTCCTGTTTTAGTGATTAAAGTAAAAAGTCCCATCACCTCCCCCCCCCCGCTTTTTTTTAGATTGTCAGTCCAGTCTCACAAAACCAAGGTTAAGCTGTTGTGTTACACTATGGATTCCGAGGTGGTCATTTCAAGGTACTTGCTTGCATTTAGACCCGTGGTTGGCTGCCAAAGCTAAAACAACAACAGCAACTTTTTACCACCATGCACAACCAGTTTGTCTCCAACATATGCACTTTTGGAAGGGAAAGGAAAGTATCATAATGCTTTCCTTCCAGAATATGGGGTGATCTAATTCTGCTCTGCCACTGACTTGTGGGAAATTTTGCTCCAGCTATGGGGGGCCACACCCAGTACTCCTTAAATGAGTGGGCATGGAATTGCAATACTTAAGTTTCTAAAGACACAAAGAATGCTGTCACAGGGTCTCTCTGCTGACCCTTTATTTAAGAAGTCATCTTGTTACTGTCCACTTAATAGCTGGAGAGGGCATCGGAGAGGCAGCCTTGGGCTTACCAAAGACGCAGCTTAGTAGGTGTGTGTGTGTGTGTGTGTGTGTGTGTGTGTGTGCGCGCGCGCACTTGTATGTTGGGAGGGGAGGGAGAGAAGCAAGAAGGAAGAGGAAGAGGAGGGGAGGGAGAGAGGGAGGGGGAAGGAGAAAGAGAGAGAGAGAGAATTGTGACTGTGTGTGTACATCAGGGAACTCAGTGGGAAAGCTGAGCCCTTGTACTCCATTTCCCCTTCACAAGGGATAAACAGGCAATTACGCATCCTTTTATATTTGATGGCCAAGTGCTGAACTGGAAAGCACACTATTAGTTTGTGTCCCTTCAGGGCCAGGGCAATAAGTAGCCAGGAGAGCTGGGGCTGAAGCAGAGAGGGTGTTGTCTGCTGTTAGTGTGACAGTCTTGTCAGCAGCATTCACATTACTGGAAGGTAATAAAGTGACAAGTAAGTTATTAGAAAGATATGAGGTGAAATTGAACTGAAGCTTCTTGCTGCTCAGCCCCAGCTTTTTCCTTTCCTCTTTTGTAATGGTCCACTATTTGTTACAAACTGAGCCTTGTCTTGATACTTTATATAGAAAAGATTTTTTTTTTTTTTGCAGTAAAGGTCAAATGAATTTACAATAACACTTTAGAAAAGAATAAGGATGTTTTATAATAACTATAGAATGTTGCTTCAAAAAAATATATATAGCATTATAATGAACAATAATGCTGATCCAATTTGGTGTACTTGTAAAAATGCTCATTAAAAAAAAAACCCTTTATTCGGCATTTGGAGTTTTCAACAAATGCCCAAAGACAGTATCTGATGTCTAGTTATTGCCGCATGACCACAAGCATCATCTTGGGCAAGATATGGAAAGAAGGGCACAAGGAAAGATGGGTGTTTGGGCCAGAGTGATGTAGACTAATTCAGCCGTCAGTTTTACAGCTGGGTTTATAAACACTAATTGCAAGTTACCATATATGGGGAGCAACTCTCCAACTACAGGGAATAGGGAAATGAGTCTGAGACACATCAGATATGGTCTTAATTCTAATACGAGGAAGACTGCCACATGGTTTAGCTTTGAGGGAAAACATGAAAACAGAAAAGTTACTTTTATGCTTCACAGGAAGGTAAATGAGCTCACATTTTGATCAAGAAGTCTTTGGCCAAGTGGCATTACAATCATGGCTACAGGGGCAAGCAAAAGTCATGATGGAGAAAATACATTTAAGAGCTCAGTTTGACCACCAGCCTTTTCTATAACCTAGGTGACCCATCACATCTCTTTGCTTCCCTAAGGGACTCCAGCATCACTTCCCACCCACAAAACAAAACCAAAAACAAAGAAAAAAACCCCACAACTGCCCTTGTTGGCTCTTCTGACCCATTAAGGAACCTGTTATTCCACACAGTTGTGTTTGCTTTCCCCTGTTCCTCAGACTGGGGTGCCGTGGGGCACCTGGTCATAGGGAGCTCTTCGGGGTGGTGCATCAATATGCTCTCGCCTGCTCCTAGGCACAATTGTACCAGACCTTTCTTTTGCACAAACACTTCAAGTTCATTCACTATTTTCTTTTCTAGCTACCCCAGACTGGGGCAGGTACCAATCCCCTACTTAGTATCCCTTGCTCTGCTTTTGGAAAAACTCATTCCCTCCAGTCTTTTTGACACCTGCCTTTCATCGCCCTCCTTACACATTTAGACCCTTCCCATTAAAAGACAAAGCATGGGAGGGAGAAGCAACATCCTCTAATTTAAATGTTCCAAGTTTTTAAAGAATGAAATTTATTGTAATTGTTTAAAAGTTAAGGAGTGTGTCCGGGGGATAAAAGAAAGTTTCTTCTGGATGATTTGTTTCTTTATGATAGCAGATGTAGTGTGTCTTATTACAGCTGAGTTTTATTTACTCTGTTAGTCAATCCAATCCAACACTAACAGACCGAGTACAAGTTAGGACTGCTCAGGTCAACTGTTAGCAGTTAGCAGAATGTCCACCCCACTCTGGTTACTGGTTTTTTTATGTTTTAATTGCCAGTGGCCCCCATTCTCATTTGCTTGGTACACATCTGGGGTGTGTACGTAGGGAGGGGAACAAAAGGTCACTTTTTATTTGGTGGGAATCTAATGCTTGGTTTCTCCTGAGTAAAATGGGGAGAATGCCTCTGGAACAACAGCCTATTCTTAGTATATTCAAAGTTTTTTTTTTTTTTTTTTTTTTAAGAGCAATGTATACACTAACAGGGCTGTTAACCAGTTAGGTGTCTTTCTCCTCTTACTGGAAGGGCCTGGAAAGTCATGACCAAAGAAATCACACTACAAGGACAGTGGCACCATTGTGCTAAAAACATTTGCAAAAAAGATGTTTGTCACGTTGAGAAGCAAAACATTAATACCTTCAAACCTTTAAAAGGCATCAGGCTGAAGTGGACAGCTAGACGAAGATCTGAGATGCATTACATTGCGTTGACTTATCTCAATACAATTAATAGCAGAACAAAGAATGTCAAGCTTTTTAATCACATTTTTAAAACCAAATTACTTATCATCTATCCTTTCCCTTGCTCTTTGTCGTCCTCCTCCACAGCATGCAGATATTCTCTAAAGCAGACTAAGCCTTTCTGATATGTACAAAAACATAGTTTAAAATGATCAGAACAGTAAGTTTCAACATCAGCTAGTGAACATGCACATTAATAATACTGCCTCATCTTCTACCTGTGACAAAACTGTGGTTAAAATCAATCAAATGCAAAAAAGCTCCTTGGATGAAAATCTGCATCGCTATTAATTTTCAGCAGCACAGAATGGATGCACAGCTCGAGAGAAACTGTTACACAATAGAAAACTCCTATGAAAAAACAAATGAGTAGAAATGGACAAAGACGAAGGGCCCAATGACTAAAATGCTGGTCTCTTTTTCCTTCCCGTTTGCAAATAAGCCTTGGGATCACCGTCCTAACTAGATTTACAGTTAAGTCAAAACACTGCACTCAGGCACACACCCAAGAACAAGCAACACTTTGGGACAGGAAGCACTGTGCATTTCATAATGTTACACTTTATGTACCACTTCGCTTCCATCCACTCCCCCGGTCCCTTTTTAAGCAAATAGGCTTTATACTGGAAAGTGTTATTCACCCATTTAGAAGGCCACCATAACATTTGGGCACTTGAGGCGCAAAAGTAGTAGCATATAGGGGAGACACTTAAAAATAAGAGCCAGTTGTCCAGGACTCATGGCCATTTCTCTGATAAATCTCAGGCGAACACATTCATGTTTCCGAGCAAGGGAAATTCTACCTTGAGAATCTCATTGCTTCTGGACTGTTCTAACTGGCTATTCACATTAGCCCAGTTTGTGGCAAGTAACAAACATTTGTTCTAAGCCTGGTTCATTTGCTGATGTGACCTGCTGACAGCTATGTAATTCACTCACTAGGGCTATTTGACCTTTTAGTTGACATTAAGTTAAACAGACTAAACATTGATTCTGTACAAGATGAGTTCTAATATCTCAACCAAGAGAGTAACTTTTTAAATATCACTGAAATAAAAATGTGTTATTTTCATAAAACTAGGTGTAATTCAGTCTATCACAATCCAAAGCCAGTGTTTCCCTAATCTTTTGTTGGGATACTAAAAAATATTTTTTCCACCCTTTTTGACTCGAATCATTTGGTAGTGGGCCAACAGCGCAACACAGAGAATGCTAAGAGGACCAAAAGGTTTGCAAACAAACTTTCATTATTCTAGTTCAATTTTTCACAAACATACTGTACATAGTCTTATATGGTATAAAACAAAGGAAAACATCTGTCTATTCAATTTAACACAACACCAAAATAAAGCAATTAAGACTTTGGGGAATTCAAAGGTACAAGAAAACAAAAATGGTTATTACTAATTCCTCAGCTTTTTACCGTAAACATTTGTCATTTAACATAGTGTTTGATATGGTTTCTTTTGTACTGCGAATACTTTTGGTCTTTCCTCACTGGCGAACAAATGAATTAAACGAGCCCCATAGCATCCTCTGAAGGAGATGAAAAGATGAAGCTTCTAGACAAGTCTAGCTTATCTTTAAGAATCTATTGTTTCTGAAATTTTTACAAATAAAAATACTGAATCCTCAACTAATGATGCTTATTTTTGGAAACAATAAATACTGTGAGGTACAATAAATCCTACAGGAATAATAACAACAACAGAAACATATTAACAGTTTCCTTTGGCAAATTTAACGGAAGTGAATGCTGATGTGAACATAGAAAAAATAATTACAAAACATATGAAAAATGGAAACAACATGCAAAGTTCAAACAAAGGGGGTATTTCTAACTTTGAGACCGATGAGAGAAATGTTTGAGGCCATTAAATGCAGAAAAGAAATACATTCTCTTTAAATTATTGTGTACTGTTAGACAAAATATTCCTTGTTTATCTGTCTTTCCCCCCCTCCACTAAAAAAAAAAAAAAAGAAAAAACAGACAACAAAACACAGTCTGCAATGCACGTCCTAATGGTTTTGGCTGCAGACTGAACTTGAGTAAATATCATCATTTAGTCAGTATGTTGTGGTAGCTGAGGGCTGCCCATGTGGTTAACCAGCTCAGGCAACATGTGTAAACATCGGAAACAAAACAAAACAAAAACAAAAAAGGTTTGGAGAATCGTCTCCCCCTCGTTCTCACTCTCAATTGCTTGGTTTCAGGCTTGCTTTCATTTCTCTCTGACAAATCATGTGGGGAAACACAAAACACTCAACAGTGAGAGATCCTATTTTAAACCCCCCTTCGTCTGGCTTTTCAGAAAGGAGTGTTGCTCAATTCAAGTTCAGCACATGTTTTCAAAGCTTCCAAGTACTGCCGCTGTGAAATGTCTTTTGATTTTGTCTATCAAACAGGCCTGAATCATAGGACTACTGCAGAACTTGCAACAAATTAGACAGCCATACAACAGACCAACCCAGTGCAGACTTCTTTCTTTTTAAAGGAGAAGGGTTAGGTCCTTGGAAATGAGTGTTCAACACTTTTACATATTCAGCTTTGTTCCACAGTCAGTAATTTGGGCTTTTGTATCCTGAAATATTATCCTGCCTCTGAAGAGTAAATGCCTTGGCTGTTTCACACCACATAATTGTGTTTTCCTTTTATGTAACTTAACATATAAGCAAAGAAGGATGCAATGTTGATTCTAATAACATTCGGCACTTGAAAGAATCACCAAGTGTTCTTTTTTTAAAGCGGTTTTCTGGTGGCCGACAAATTGGCCTGTGGTTATGTTGAGTGACTAATTGTATTTTCTTTTCGGGAAACTTGTGCAAAGTTGGCAGTTTTGTGTTAACACTAATACTTTTGTTTGGCATTTTTGCCCTATACTGACCAGACCATTTTTATACAAGTGAATTTTTTTAAAAAGACACTTACTTGAAGTATGGCAATAGTTTAAGGATAAAAAAGAAGCATGGATATTACACATCCCCTTGTAGTGTATGAAAAAAAGTGCATGACTGGATTTATGTACTAGTACAGGACATTTTAAAAAATCCGATCTGTGCTGTAAAGCATGCCAGCACCTCTTTATCACTATATCTAGCAGGTAGTAAAAACAAGACCATGTTTTTTTTTAAAAAAAAAATGTGCATTAATGCTAACATAAATGAATAGAGCTAGCCAGCAAACTATTTTTCTCCTGCATATCTAACAGCTGGATGTAACTGTAAAAATTAAACAAAAGAGTTAAACACCATCAATACAATTGCTTTACATCATTGGCCTCTCAAGGCTAAATATTTACAGGTGAATCTGCCATGCTTTAATTGAAGATTCTCTCAAAACCTTAAAGTTCACAAAAGACAACTATAAGAAGTTCCTTTTTTGTTTCTTTTTTTTTTTTCCCTTTATTTTTTTTTTGCAGGCAACAGTCATGGATACAACAAATTGTCCCTCTGGAGAGGACCAAGAATTCTTATTCTTTCAGAATTTGGGCTAGTTGCACACTTTATGTGTGTATGTGTGTGTGTATGTGTGTTTTAAGGGTACTTTGTTTTCACCCCCAAATTAAAGATCCCACCCCTTTCCCAAAACTATAAAGGAAAAAGAAAACAATTTTCAAAAGCACCTAGTGTTTATCTTTTTATATCTAAAAAGATGTGTGTGTGTGTGTGTGTGTGTATGTAGACACAGAGGCGTACATGTGTACACACACACACACACACACACACACGCCAAGTACACAAGCACACACTGACTATGGCAGTTCAAATACGTAGGCCATCTGGTGAGAGCTGGCATTTGTAATGTCCGTTCTGAGACTAATCGACGGAAGTGAAGGGAATGTTTTTGTGGAGATTAGGGTTCTGACTGTGCCGGTTTCGGCTTCGCACAGAGGAAAACATCATATTGCAACCAGGGACTTTGCACTTGTGCATTTCTCGCAAATGCACAGTTTTGTAGTGCACTCTCAGGGTCCCCTTGTTGCTGTACATTTTGTGACAAATGTTGCACATGATCCCACCATTGCTCCCGGACAAGCTGTTGAACATCAGAGATCCTGGAACTTCGGCCCCTAGACTGCCAGGGAGGGCAGGGGCCTCGGCCTTGTGTGCCGACTCCCCACTGTCACTCGCCCCGTCAATGTCGTCGAGAAGAATGCCCTCGTCGCTGCCTGCGTCGGATTCTCGGGAGGAATGGATGCTGCTGCTGGACTGGAGACTGGAGGTGGTGCTCAGGTCAAGGACCATGTAGTCCTCCGCCATGCCTCTCCCGTACCCATTCAGGTGGGAGTCTTCAGTCCCTGCGGGAGAGGAGGCGTCTTCCCTGACATCAAGCCCCAACGGGTGCTGGGCACCATAGATCTTCATCAAAAATTCATCCCGGAGGTCCTTGCTAAGGGAGGGCTGCGCTGAGTCCAGGCCCATGTCATCGAGTTCTTTGGTCAACAGTTTGCGATGCAGGTTTATGTTGGCACTGTGTCTAGGAAAACAAGAGGGAAGGGGGGGGAGAGGTGTACAGGGAGTGGGGAGGGGTGAGAAAAAGGAGAACATTTTAAAATTGATTCAGCTTCCACCAGGCATTAAATAAGCACATTCATTGCTAATTGCACCATTATAAAAGCAAACATTGCCCTACATCCTCAGGATTTGGGAATAAGTGGTGGTGGGGAGTGCAAATAAGGGGAGCTTTTCATTAACATAATTTTTATAAGAGTAAAATTCTTCAATGGTAGAATGAATGCAAACCCATGCACCTTTTTCTCAATGATATTGTTAGCTCTACTAGGTAGCAGCATCAGCTGCACAGAATCTCACAGCAGAGATGTCAGAATATATATTAAACAGGATAAAAGAATGGAAACTTGCTGCTTGTCTAAACTGAATAATTTGAATTTACACCTAAAAAAAAAAAAGCCCTTTTTTTGCCTACAGCACTTCATTTAGAGGTATAAAAAAGATCAATTTTTAAAAAAGTAAATGGTTTAGATAATTTCAGTTTAACTTTAAAACATAATGACATCTTCTCCATTGCCTTTCTATACTTCATGTTCTAGGAAGGAAAAAATTTAGTTTTATAGATTAGCAATTTGAAATAGGGTTACAGACTGTATCATAAATCCCTTTCCTCAGAATAATTTGGGATCTCAACTAATCTACTAGTAAACTACGCGTCATTTTCAGAAGCTGCTGCATTTTAGAGTTGAAAATGCTTTCATCGAGTAATTCGACTTTTAAAATTTAATCCTTTAAAACAAAGCCTGAAAAATAGAAATTGTTTTTTAAAATAAAACCCACCCACCCTTTAAAAAAATCACGCTAAACAACAGAAAAAACCCAAAAGGGACAAAAAAGAAAACACACAATAAATACCCCCCAAATCAAGCACAATATATGGTCCCCCTTTTTTAACAACTGGAATCTGTACTTCTTAGACAAGCAAAACTTTTAGTGAGGGCTTTGCTTGTGTTTTAAAAAAAAAAAAAAAAGATAGGATTTGTCCCACAGCATCCATACGGATGTCATGATTTACAAAGCCTAATATGTTATTATCTATCTGAAAACATTGCCTTTGTATTTACATCCCCCATTTATTTTTAAAGTGCCCTTGGGCATATACCTCTCTCCACCTGCAAAGGCTCACATGTTTGACAAGTACCTAAATTGAAGGCTACCCTTCCAAAAAATAAACCAATAAATAAATACACAGATACATAAGAGCTTCTCGATAATGGCAGAAGCTCTACATCTTGAAAAAGTAATTGTGATAATAGAAATAACCTAGAATGGCCAGTATAACATTCAACAGACCTCCTGATTATAATTAAAACGTATGGAAGACCAAAATGAGTCACTCCATTTGGTGACAAGCATGGCTAATTTCTTAGAGATGGTTGAGAGGTATGTGCCTCAGAGACAAGAAAGGTAGGAAAGACTTCTCCACCTTTCCACACAAGACAATATATAGCACTCCGGGTGTTAAGGGGCAGAGGGGAGCAGCCCTCTCCACACTGCACTTAGGAAGGCTGAGCTTACCTTGTGATAATAAGATCAGCTTTCTAATCTTTTGCTAAATCGATCACAAAAGAAAGCAAGAATGAGAGAGAGAGAGAAAGAGAGAGAAAGAGAGAGAGAGAGAAAACAAATTCACATTCTAGACATCTGGTTTAAAAAAAACTTAAACAATAAAATAGGGATTTAAAATGTTCTGATCACAAAATCATTTTCTGTCATAAGAGATCACCTCATATGCTGTCTTGATGATTTTCAGATCAGCTGTATAATCCAAAAATCATAAATCGAATTAAGATAAACCAAATTCACAGCATCATTGTTTCCATAAATGAGTTCTGCACAGATGCATGCAGGGTGCGAGTATGTGAGTGATAAACAGAAGTTGCCCCCAGAGTCCCTGCCCTGACACTGTTGCTCCCTGTTTCCTTGGCGTCAGATGGCAGATGACTCCAAGTGCAGGTTGCAAAGCAGAGTGCAGGCAATGCCTACTGAGCGGTCTCTACCCGGACATGCGGGCATGACGCCCCCAGAGTTATTAGAAGAACGTGGAAACAGAGTTACACTGCGTACTCTTACTCTATTGATTAAACGATCTGCCAACCGTAAGTAGCCCACGAAATCCTACCCATCTGTTTATTATTTCTAACACCCTCCCCACTTTCTTAATTTCACAAGCACACATTTTGTGATGACTGTAATCTAGAACTCTGTTGCTCCTCACACATCTGCAGTTACCACTTCCTAGATTCACTGCTGAGAAAATAGCAGACACATAGCAGTCACATCAAGACACATTGAATAAAGAAGAATAAATTAACATTGACAAAAGGACACACTGATCACCCAGATGGACACTTCTTTCCTGAGATGACTTGTGAAATTACACATCTCTACTGATATGTTACCAGGAAGAGATGTTTCTCTTCATTTCTCACTTACAGCAATAGAAATCTGTAATCTAATTAGATGATGTACCAGCCCTCAATATCTGTCAACCAAACGATGTGCAGAAATGTGTAGACCAGCTCTGGCACTCTGTTCAACAGTGTCCCTTTTCCGCTGTCAGCAGTACTGTTGGCCTCTGCTAATATAATTACATTGACTTTTATTCAATTAAGTGCCATCCCTTGCTTAAAAAAAAAAGGTTATTTTATCAATTGATTCAGGTGTAATGCAATAATAAAGATGAACTCAGGGCAGTGCATTAGCTCTGCTGTTCATAACTTCAGTACAAGGGTTCATTCATGGTAGTCGATTTCCATTATGCAACCACAGTTCAAGAGAATTGATTCTTTTATGCTCATTTCTTAATCTATTTCATTTTTGTTTAATAATCTTCCTAAATACCATATGCAAAACACGTGAAGTGGGGATGGGAAAGTCTGCCCGTTTACCCTCATGGTAGCGGGCTTGGGAGATTTTCTAACACTCACACAGTAATGTTGGGGTGGTAAGAGGAAAAGCGAGAGCAGGAGAGAAAGAAGAAAGACAGATTTCTTTGGAGAGTACTGATCCTGCTCCTCAAGAGGTTAGGTTCAGCCTCTACAGAGCAGACAGAAGGCAGCATTTGATCTTAACAAAGACCTATTGTTGGACTCTGGAATCAGTCGATCCAAACCATTAATTGTCATAAAACCCTGTCCTCATGAGGAGATACAAAGACCTAGCGTTAATAGCGATTTATAAGTTTATTTGGATCAGCAAAATTAAAGAGGTAAAAAGAGAAGGAAGATGGAAGAGACACAGAAAGAACTCATGCCTACTGACCATCAGATGAAGAGAAGAGGACCCTAAAATGGGAGGAAGGCCAGAGAGTGTTGGAAATATGAGAAAGACCCCTAGCAGAGGAAGCAGTGTGCAGATGTATGTAGTAAGTGGAAGGAGGAATCTATGAAGGAACCCAATTTTGAGTTCTTCAGAGACAGAGATGGTTTTTCTAGAAATGGACTTACTATATTTATCTCCAGAAGAGAGAGAGAGAGATAATCATTAGCAAAAATCTAGATTATATTCAAACTTATTATATAATACAAGATCATAAACAGTACGAAGGCTCTTTCTGCTTGCTTTGATTAGGTAGGAAATACCGATATGCATTTCCTCTCATGGAAAATTTCTCTCATGGAAAAAAAAAAAAATGACTGGGATGGAGAGAGAAGATGAGTTCCTAGGCAGAAAGGGTAAGGATCTGGTCTTAATAGGGATCTGGTGTTAATGAGTACAGACAGTACTACTCACTAAGAGAGGAGTCCAAAATGTAGCCCCCAGATGGTCACTTTCAAGAACACAAACTAAATCTCATTCAACCTCCAGTCTCCTGCAGTAAAGTAGAATACGTTGCACATAGGAAATACTTGAAAGTACATTTACTTGCCTTCAATCAATAATATGCATGAGAAGCTTTTCCCAAAATACACTGTAGAAGAGAAAACAATGATCCCAAGACTGGAAGCATGTAACAGAATACTTAAGAAAAGGCAGTGGTAGGGGCGCCTGAGTGGCTCAGTTGGTTAAGCGACTGCCTTCGGCTCAGGTCATGATCCTGGAGTCCCTGGATCGAGTCCCGCATCGGGCTCCCTGCTTGGCAGGGAGTCTGCTTCTCCCTCTGACCCTCCCCGCTCTTGTGCTCTCTCTCTTTCATTCTCTCTCTCAAATAAATAAATAAAATCTTAAAAAAAAAAAAAGAAAAGACAGTGGTAATAGAGCAAAGGGTAATTCTGACTCTATTAATACCCCAATGTGGTACACAGAAATGCTATATAAATCAAGGCATGACACAGTCCTATAACTTGGGCTTGCTTGGAATTACAACTGCTTCCTCTGAATCTCTGTACTCTTTCCTACTCCCTCCACACTGTGAGTTTACAAAATGCCTTTTGAAAACTAAGATTATCCTTAAGAGCAAAAAGTAATGAAGCCTTGGGTAGGGGAGGTCATAAAAACAAACTTAACACTGAAATGCTGAGTGGAAGTACTCTAACTGGCCTGAAGTGGACCACTGCTCTTTTTGTTCCTTTAATAAAAATTTTACTTATGTCAATTATATCTCAATTAAAAAAAAGAAAAAAAACCTTACTGCAACCACAGAAGACACCAAATTCATCAAACACAGTTAAGTAAATGCATAAATACAAGCGAGAGAAAGTAAGAGAAAAAGTAAGTCTTGCTGGGCATTTCTCTTCTCATGTTTCTCTTGTTCTAATGCCCAGTTCAACTTAATATAATGTTTGAGGTTTTAACTTTGACTTTGATATATAGGGAAGGAACTTTTTTTTTATTTTAAAGAAAAAGTTTCATGTCCAAATTAGAAAATCAGAATGTAGTAGTCAAAACTGAATAGTGAATCAGACCATAGGTTACATGAGAAGTTCAATATCTAAATCTTAATTCTTTCTAAGTTTTGAACCATTCTAAACTTAGTGAAACAAAATACTTGATAAATATTATAATATCTCAGGCAAAACAGAATTGAGGCTCCATATTGGATTAATTTTTATCTTTCTTTTCTTGCTTAT